GTGAGCAGCGGCCGTCCAGACCGTTACGGCGAGAGTCTCGATTTTGGCCGTACCGGCCGATCCTCGATTTTAGGTTGGTCCCTGTTGTTTCTCCCTCCACTGCTCCTCCTTCTCCTCGCCTCGTCCCCTCTCGGGCGGCTGGTTCGGGGGATGCCTGCCCGTCGATTTTGGATCCCTTGCGGGCAGTCTGTTGTCCCAGCCGCACGGCCGATGGCGTTTCAGCGTGGGCTTGCATGGAGCGGAAAAGGGCTCAAAGTTGTACCGCGCCCGCCTGGAATATCCTTCCCCCCTCGTCTCCTTCCTCCCGCTCTCGCTTCCTGGAGGCGGAGCTCCGGCTAACCCCGCCGGGGCGGGCCGGCTCTTCGCCTCCCCTGCCTGTCTCCTCCTCGCTCCCCCCGTGCACGTCGTCTCGCCCGGTAGCCGACCTGGTTGGCGATGGTTTGCACCGCGCTCTGCAGGATCGTTCCTCCTCCCCGCCGTCTTCCCCTCTCCCTCCCCTTCTCCCCCTTCTTCCGGGTCGTCGGATGTGGCGGTGCCACAGGTCCGTGCTTTAATGAATGGCGTCGTTCACAAACGTAGTTTCGCAGCAGTGCACGCTTCAGATTTGCAGGCCACCGTGAAGGAGGCGGCGCACGGACTGCAGCTTCTTCCGCAATGCATGCCCGATTTGATACTACAGGCTTCCGTTGGAGAAGCGGCGTTGCAGACGGGGCCGCTTTCGCCACAGCACCGGAGCCGGCAAATGCCGCCTTCCGGCGGACAGCTCCCCACCAGGTCCGTCAGTGCAAGCGCTTGCGTGGTAAAGGGGGTTGCCCCCCCGCCCCTCCTTCTCTCCTCCGCCCCCTCTTTCTCCTCCCTCGTCCCCCGCGCGCGGCGACCCGCCCCCACGTTGTGGCGGTAGAGGGGCACACGACGTGGTTCGTCTTGTTAGCCGGTGCGCGTTTCAGATCTTAGCTGGCCTCCGGAAGGACACGATCAAAAGGGTGAATGGAGGGGTGCCGTGTCGGTCGGCCCCTGGTGGGATGGCGCCCCTCACCAGGGAGCCGGAAAAACAATGGCTCCTCGGATCGGCACCCTCCCTTTTTTCCCGGAAAGGGCATGAGCCCAGGGTTCTCTTTTAGTAGGTAAACCTGTCCCCCGGTGCCAACTTGAAGGAGGCCGGCGAATTTTTTCCCTGATAAATAACGAGGTCGAAGGAGGCCGGCGAATTAAAATTTGAGGATGTCTCGAGCGAAACGCTTGTTTTTGAAATCCCGATCGATAAATCACAGGGTGCGGGCCACTTTTTCGTGTGTTGAGGATGTCTCGAGCGAAACGCTTGCTCCGCAGAGTTTGCCGAGGATGTCTCGAGCGAAACGCTTGTTTTGCAGAGCCGACCGCGACGCGGAAAAGCGCCCCGCGCGAAGGAATTTCGATGATGTTTCGACTAATTTGTTCCCGGAAAGGGCATAGGCCCAGGGTTCTCTTTTAGTGGGTAAACCTGTCCCCCGGTGCCAACTTGAAGGAGGCCGGCGAATTTTTTCCCTGATAAATAACGAGGTCGAAGGAGGCCGGCGAATTAAAATTTGAGGATGTCTCGAGCGAAACGCTTGTTTTTGAAATCCCGATCGATAAATCACAGGGTGCGGGCCACTTTTTCGTGTGTTGAGGATGTCTCGAGCGAAACGCTTGCTCCGCAGAGTTTGCCGAGGATGTCTCGAGCGAAACGCTTGTTTTGCAGAGCCGACCGCGACGCGGAAAAGCGCCCCGCGCGAAGGAATTTCGATGATGTCTCGACTAATTCCTTTGTTTTTGTACGATTTCCTGGAATTTTGGCAGGATGTCTCGAGCGAAATGCACGACCCCACCCTAGCACGACCATACCCCAGCACGACCACACCCCAGCACGACCAGACCCCAGCACGACCCCACCCCAGCACGACCCCACCCCAGCACGACCATACCCCAGCACGACCACACCCCAGCACGACCCGACCCCAGCACGACCCTACCCCAGCAAGACCACACCCCAGCACGACCACACCCCAGCACGACCTCACCACAGCACGACCACACCCCAGCACGACCACGCCCCAGCACGACCACGCCCCAGCACGACCACGCCCCAGCACGACCACCCCCCAGCACGACCACCCCCCCAGCACGACCACCCCCCAGCACGACCACCCCAGCACGACCACCCCCAGCACGACCACACCCCAGCACGACCACTCCCCAGCACGACCACACCCCAGCACGACCACACCCCAGCACGACCACACCCCAGCACGACCACACCCCAGCACGACCCGATCGATAAATCACAGGGTGCGGAGCACCCCAGCACGACCCACCCCAGCACGACCCCACCCCAGCACGACCCCACCCCAGCACGACCACGCCCCAGCACGACCACACCCCAGCACGACCACACCCCAGCACGACCACTCCCCAGCACGACCCCACCCCAGCACGACCCCACCCTAGCACGACCACACCCCAGCACGACCACACCCCAGCACGACCCCACCCCAGCACGATCACACCCCAGCACGACCCCACCCCAGCAAGACCACACCCCAGCACGACCACACCCCAGCACGACCTTACCACAGCACGACCACACCCCAGCACGACCACGCCCCAGCACACGCCCCAGCACGACCACGCCCCAGCACGACCACGCCCCAGCACGACCACGCCCCAGCACGACCACCCCCCAGCACGACCACCCCCCCAGCACGACCACCCCCCAGCACGACCACCCCCCAGCACGACCACACCCCAGCACGACCACTCCCCAGCACGACCACACCGCCTTGGTTGAGTGGTTGCCTGTCGTCGTGGAATGTTTCGTGGGGTGTCTCGTGGAATGTTTCGCGGGGTGTCTCGTGAAATGTTTCGTGAGGTGTCTCGTGGAATGTTTCGTGAGGTGTCTCGTGGGCTGTTTCGTGAGGTGTCTCGTGGGATGTTTCGTGAGGTGTTGCCCAGTTGGGTATCATGAAAACGTGTCCATGCTCCACATGTCTATATCCCTTTCCGGGTTCGTGGGTCCATCATGTTTGTTTTTGTACGATTTCCTGGAATTTTGGCAGGATGTCTCGAGCGAGCGAAATGCACGACCCCACCCTAGCACGACCATACCCCAGCACGACCACACCCCAGCACGACCAGACCCCAGCACGACCCCACCCCAGCACGACCCCACCCCAGCACGACCATACCCCAGCACGACCACACCCCAGCACGACCCGACCCCAGCACGACCCTACCCCAGCAAGACCACACCCCAGCACGACCACACCCCAGCACGACCTCACCACAGCACGACCACGCCCCAGCACGACCACGCCCCAGCACGACCACGCCCCAGCACGACCACGCCCCAGCACGACCACGACACAACCACCCCCCAGCACGACCACACCCCAGCACGACCACACTCACGAAACACCCCAGCACGACACACCCCAGCACGACCACACCCCAGCACGACCAGATCGATAAATCACATGGGTGCGGACCACCCCAGCAGCACCCCAGCACGAACCCACCCCAGCACGACCCCACCCCAGCACGACCCAACGAACCAACCCCAGCACATACCACGACCCCAGCATGACCACACCCCAGCACGACCACACCCCAGCACGAACCACTCCCCAGCACGACCCCACCACCAGCACGACCCAACCCAGCACGACCACACCCCCACGACCACCCAGCACGACCCCACCCCAGCACGATCACACCCCAGCACGACCCCACCCCAGCAAGACCACACCCCAGCACGACCGCACCCCAGCACGACCTTACCACAGCACGACCACACCCCAGCACGACCACGCCCCAGCACGACCACGCCCCATCACGACCACGCCCCAGCACGACCACGCCCCAGCACGACCACGCCCCAGCACGACCACGCCCCAGCACGACCACGCCCCAGCACGACCACCCCCCAGCACGACCACCCCCCCAGCACGACAACCCCCCAGCACGACCACCCCCCAGCACGACCACACCCCAGCACGACCACACCGCCTTGGTTGAGTGGTTGCCTGTCGTCGTGGATGTTTCGTGGGGTGTCTCGTGGAATGTTTTCGCGGGGTGTCTCGTGAAATGTTTCGTGAGGTGTCTCGTGGAATGTTTCGTGAGGTGTCTCGTGGGCTGTTTCGTGAGGTGTCTCGTGGGATGTTTCGTGAGGTGTTGCCCAGTTGGGTATCATGAAAACGTGTCCATGCTCCACATGTCTATATCCCTTTCCGGGTTCGTGGGTCCATCATGTTCCCGGAAAGGGCGCGACTTGTGGGAGTTGCCTCCCCTCACTTTGCCCTCCTTCCTCCGTTCTTGCATGTGCATGTCTGTTTATACAGTTAGATCTTAGTGTCTGCACATCGGTGTTATTCTTCACCAGGGGCCGGCCGGCTGTACTTGGGCTGGCGTTAGGCAAAGGCTGCTGGCATGCTGCGCAGCCGTTTTCCGCTCACCTTCCTCCCCTCTTCCCTTCTAGTGCTACTGTGTGCGATTTTAGTTTTCGGCTGAGTAGGCCAAAGGGGGATTTCCACACAGGGTTGGGAGCTCAAGTTTGCGTGGTCGTTCATGGAGCTTGGTCTTTGCGTTAGCTAAATCTCATTCCACGATTTCTGACCCAATGTTGCCATTTAGGGAAGTGCTGCCAGTGCTTTTTCCCGGAAAGGGCTGGGGCCCAGGGTTCTCTTTTAGTAGGTAAACCTGTCCCCCGGTGCCAACTTGAGGGAGGCCGGCGAATTTTTTCCCTGATAAATAACGAGGTCGAAGGAGGCCGGCGAATTAAAATTTGAGGATGTCTCGAGCGAAACGCTTGTTTTTCAGAATTTCTTGAGGATGTCTCGAGCGAAACGCTGGTTTTGCAGAGTTGAGGATGTCTCGAGCGAAACGCTTGTTTTCAGAATTTGCTGAGGATGTCTCAAGCGAAACGCTGGTTTTGCAGAGCCGACGCGACGCGGAAAAGCGCCCCGCGCGAAGGAATTTCGATGATG